GTGTGTGTGTGTGTGTGTGTGTGTGTGTGTGTGTGTGTGTGTGTGTGTGTGTGTGTGTGTGTGTGTGTGTGTGTGTGTGTGTGTGTGTGTGTGTGTGTGTGTGTGTGTGTGTGTGTGTGTGTGTGTGTGTGTGTGTGTGTGTGTGTGTGTGTGTGTGTGTGTGTGTGTGTGTGTGTGTGTGTGTGTGTGTGTGTGTGTGTGTGTGTGTGTGTGTGTGTGTGTGTGTGTGTGTGTGTGTGTGTGTGTGTGTGTGTGTGTGTGTGTGTGTGTGTGTGTGTGTGTGTGTGTGTGTGTGTGTGTGTGTGTGTGTGTGTGTGTGTGTGTGTGTGTGTGGTGTGTGTGTGTGTGTGTGTGTGTGTGTGTGTGTGTGTGTGTGTGTGTGTGTGTGTGTGTGTGTGTGTGTGTGTGTGTGTGTGTGTGTGTGTGTGTGTGTGTGTGTGTGTGTGTGTGTGTGTGTGTGTGTGTGTGTGTGTGTGTGTGTGTGTGTGTGTGTGTGTGTGTGTGTGTGTGTGTGTGTGTGTGTGTGTGTGTGTGTGTGTGTGTGTGTGTGTGTGTGTGTGTGTGTGTGTGTGTGTGTGTGTGTGTGTGTGTGTGTGTGTGTGTGTGTGTGTGTGTGTGTGTGTGTGTGTGTGTGTGTGTGTGTGTGTGTGTGTGTGTGTGTGTGTGTGTGTGTGTGTGTGTGTGTGTGTGTGTGTGTGTGTGTGTGTGTGTGTGTGTGTGTGTGTGTGTGTGTGTGTGTGTGTGTGTGTGTGTGTGTGTGTGTGTGTGTGTGTGTGTGTGTGTGTGTGTGTGTGTGTGTGTGTGTGTGTGTGTGTGTGTGTGTGTGTGTGTGTGTGTGTGTGTGTGTGTGTGTGTGTGTGTGTGTGTGTGTGTGTGTGTGTGTGTGTGTGTGTGTGTGTGTGTGTGTGTGTGTGTGTGTGTGTGTGTGTGTGTGTGTGTGTGTGTGTGTGTGTGTGTGTGTGTGTGTGTGTGTGTGTGTGTGTGTGTGTGTGTGTGTGTGTGTGTGTGTGTGTGTGTGTGTGTGTGTGTGTGTGTGTGTGTGTGTGTGTGTGTGTGTGTGTGTGTGTGTGTGTGTGTGTGTGTGTGTGTGTGTGTGTGTGTGTGTGTGTGTGTGTGTGTGTGTGTGTGTGTGTGTGTGTGTGTGTGTGTGTGTGTGTGTGTGTGTGTGTGTGTGTGTGTGTGTGTGTGTGTGTGTGTGTGTGTGTGTGTGTGTGTGTGTGTGTGTGTGTGTGTGTGTGTGTGTGTGTGTGTGTGTGTGTGTGTGTGTGTGTGTGTGTGTGTGTGTGTGTGTGTGTGTGTGTGTGTGTGTGTGTGTGTGTGTGTGTGTGTGTGTGTGTGTGTGTGTGTGTGTGTGTGTGTGTGTGTGTGTGTGTGTGTGTGTGTGTGTGTGTGTGTGTGTGTGTGTGTGTGTGTGTGTGTGTGTGTGTGTGTGTGTGTGTGTGTGTGTGTGTGTGTGTGTGTGTGTGTGTGTGTGTGTGTGTGTGTGTGTGTGTGTGTGTGTGTGTGTGTGTGTGTGTGTGTGTGTGTGTGTGTGTGTGTGTGTGTGTGTGTGTGTGTGTGTGTGTGTGTGTGTGTGTGTGTGTGTGTGTGTGTGTGTGTGTGTGTGTGTGTGTGTGTGTGTGTGTGTGTGTGTGTGTGTGTGTGTGTGTGTGTGTGTGTGTGTGTGTGTGTGTGTGTGTGTGTGTGTGTGTGTGTGTGTGTGTGTGTGTGTGTGTGTGTGTGTGTGTGTGTGTGTGTGTGTGTGTGTGTGTGTGTGTGTGTGTGTGTGTGTGTGTGTGTGTGTGTGTGTGTGTGTGTGTGTGTGTGTGTGAGCTATTCGACAACTCAGCAACGGCAAGGCCGCTGGCGCCTCAGCTATCCTGCCTGAGTTGGTCAAAGCGGGTGGTGAGAGTTTCATGGAGGCACTGTTGGATCTGTTGCACCATGTCTGGGATGACGAGGCTGTTCCGCAGGAATGGGTAGACTGCAATCTTGTGCCAATCCCAAAGAAAGGTAACCTCTCATTGTGTGATAATTGGCGTGGCATATCACTCCTGGATGTTGTTGGGAAAGTTGCTGCTCGAGTACTTCAGTCCAGATTACAGATTATTGCGGAGAATATTCTACCCGACTCCCAGTGCGGCTTTCGTAAGGGTCGATCTTGCACAGACATGGTGTTTGCAGTTCGCCAAGTCCTGGAGAAGTTGTACGAACATCGCTGCCCGGGATACGTTGTCTTTGTTGATTTACGTAAGGCGTACGACTCAGTAAACCGTGAATGCATGTGGCTGGTTCTCGCGAAGGCAGGGGTCCCTAGTAACATCGTAAACATCATCAAGTCGTTTCACACCTCCATGTCGGCTACTCTCTCCATCGGGTCAACACCCATCCAACCCATTGCAGTGAAGAGTGGTTTGCGGCAGGGCTGTTGTATGGCACCAGTCTTATTCAACATATTCATGTGGGCTGTTTTCCAGAGATGGTCCAGAGTGGTCGAGCATGTGCCTGGTATCGGCGTCCCGCTGGCATTCAATCCTGGGGGCTCGCTTTATTTCAAGAGAAAGCGTACTGACGATCAGACTACCATCAACGACTGCCAGTTCGCTGACGACTCTGCACTGTTTGCCACTACCCGTACTGCTGCTGCTCTTGCTCTGGATATGTTCATCGATGTCTCGTCTGCATTTGGTCTGACCGTCAATCTGGACAAGACCAAATTTATGGCGGTTGGCTATGGTATCACGGATGATGACCGACTTCCTCTTCCTGTGAAGAATGGCACATTGGAATGTGTGCGTGAGTTCCGATACCTGGGTGCTGTTATCCATGATTCTGGCCGATCTCACAAAGATGTATCGACCCGTGTTTCATCTGCCTCCCGTGCTTTTGGAGCGCTCCGTCATGCTGTCTTCAATGACCACAATCTCTCTCTGCGCACCAAGCGTCTGGTTTTCGAGGCCTGTGTTCTGTCCTTACTGCTCTATTGTGCGGAGACGTGGGTACCGCTGCAAAGTTATGTGCAACGGATCACGACCTTCTACTACCGGTCGCTTTCTTTCCATCATGTGTGTTGCACAGCGGGGATGTGTGGGACTTGAAGATAGCCAAGGACACCATTCTGAAAACATGGAATGCAGCAAACCCACTGGATATCCCCGACCCCGAAGACTGGAATGGCTTGGGCACGTGGTATGCATGCCTGAGGAGCGGATGCCGCGGATGTTGTTGTTTGGCACATTGCTGCCACCACGCCCAGTGTGTGGCCCGCGGAAACGATGGCGAGACGCAATTAGGGTCGACCTGCGACGAATAAACATCGCCGACGAGTCATGGTTTGACACAGCGCAGGAACGATCTGAGTGGCGACAAGCTTATCGAGCAATACAACCAGCTCAGAAACCGGCTCGGGAGATAGTCTGCGAGGTGTGCCGGCGTGCATTTGCTCGGCAGCAAGATATCGCCCGCCACAAGTGCATCATGGAACGGCGTAAACCAGTCCAGCAGCAAGCCAACAGCCGCCAGTGGCTCCCAGTGTCACCGATGGTTTCGGAGTGCAGGTGGCATTGCAGTCCATCGCTGTGTCCAGTCCAATTCTGCCCCGAATGTTGCCAATGCCACAAGCTCTTCACCTGTGCGCCTATGTATTCGGAAACCCGTGCTGTACCGCTCACTGTCCCATTTGTGAACGCTGCTGTAAGTCGATCCGGGGCTTTGCTATCCACAACTGCAACCGATCCACCAGGCGCCAACTGCTGATGAAAGGGACAAGTTCCAATTGCAATGTCAGAATTGCCAGAGGCGTTTCAAAAGGCGAAACGACTTATCCCGTCACCAACGCTCATGTCTCCTCTCGTCTCCGTCTCGCTCAACGAGAAACACGTGACCTACATGGCAGTGTATACCAGGACCAGGACCAGGTGTGTGTGTGTGTGTGCGTGTGTGTGTATGTTTGCGTGTGTGTGGGGGGGGGGGGGTGTATAGGATACACTGACATGGAAGAATAGACCCACAAACATGCCACGTAATGAATGTATGGTATGTGCACATCACGCGTAGCAGGAACAGGGACAACTCTTACCTCAGCTGGAGATGAGGATGAGTGGTGTGCCTCAGCGCGTCTGCTCTGCTCGGGCGAAGACGCACTGGACGAACTAGTCTTGTCGGCTGCGCTCGCGAGCGATGCATTTCCCTGAGTCTCACCACCGTGCTGCTGCTCGGGGGAGATGAGGTCCCGGAGGACGACGGCGAGCTTGAAGTCAGCGGAGAGTGCGAGGTGGATCGCTCTGCGGCCACGTCTTCGTTCCCGTCGAGCTGCAGCTGGGTCTCGAGACGCGCCACGCGGTCGAGCAGTGTGTGTATCTGCGCCTCGCTACCGTCCAGCATCTCAAGCAGCTCTTCCTCTGTAGCGGAAGTGGGGACAAGTAGAAACAACTCTTAGTGTACAGTTATTTATATGAACCAGATGCATTGCCCGCATAGGGTGGGGGGGGGGGGGGGGGGCGTGCCCCCCCCCCCCTCTCCACCCTCAAAATTTTGACCTAGGGTCAGTTTGCGCATAATGACCCATGAATGACACGCACCAGCCATCCTACACACACGCGGCCGCGCACCCCCCTAAAAGGGGGACCAGTTACGCCCCTGCATACACACGCGCAAATGTACACACAGTCAAAATAACTGTTACGCAGAGATGCCCTTGGAAGGTTTCAGGGACCGCCTGGGAATTGGCCTTCAAACTGGGTAAAACATCACAGGTTTGTTTGGGGTAGATTCTGCTGGTTCATCTGCAGACTCTTAGAGTAGACGGTGGCAATTTCTGGTTTCCCACGCGCGCGTGCGTATGTGTGTGTGTGTGTGTGTGTGTGTGTGTGTGCGTGTGCGCGGGTGTGTGTGTGTGTCTGTGCATACGTGTGTGCATGTCCATAGAAAGATGTGGGAGGTGGGACAATAGAGGCATACCTTCCGCTTCTAGATCATCCACCAATGCCGGTGCTGCTGGCTGTCAAACTCCCGCAGCTCCG